AAAAGGATGCGAGGGGCACGTTCAAGGGATCGATGAAAACGAGGTGGTAGAGGACGGAGATGGCGTCGGGAGTGCGGGCCTGATGCTGTTGGTGTGAGCCTTGGGGGGACCGCTCTACCACAAAACCAGATGGACCTTCCCGCCCTGCAAGATGCATTACTTTCTCACCGTTGTCCTGGTGGTGGTGCTGGTGCTGGGGGGACATGTTGCCCTGGCTCATTGCGCCCGGCCCCATGCCCGGGTAGCCGGGCTGCCCGCCGACCTGGCCGCCGCCCAGCAGCATGGCGGCCAGGTTGGGGGAGAAGCTGCCCTCCCCCGCGCCGCGCATGGGCGAGATGGGCGGCGTGATGGGCCCCGCGGGCGAGGTCCTGAACATGCCGGCCAGGGGGTCCTCCCCACCGCCGTAGGCCTGGGAGGGGGGCACGAAGCCATAGCCCTGCACGTACACGGGCGCGTGCTGCTGACCGTAGGTGGCCATGCCGGGCGAGGAGGCGTTGGCCAGCGCGATCTGGCGCAGCATGGCGAAGCCCTTGAAGGTGCCACGCACGATGTCGTTGACCATGGACACCGCCAGCTGCAGCGCCTGGGGCAGGCCCGCGATGGTCACGCGCGTGGGGTCTGAGGACTGGTCGATCTGGATCATGGCGCCCGTATACTGCTGCAGCGCCTTGATGGTCTCCCCGCCCTTGCCAATCACGCGCCCCACCATGGTCTTGGGGCACTCCACCACCGCGGTCGACTTGGGGGGGACCTTGGACCCCAGCAGGTCCACCAGCTGCTGCATGTGGCCGGGGTCGGAGGAGGGGGGGAAGCCCAGGCCCTCGGGCGGGTAACCCTGCTGACCCGGCCCGGACTCGACGGGTGGAGGCTGCATGAGGGACAAGACTGCGCGGCAAAGGGGGGGGGAGAGGGGTGGTTAGGATGGCGGTATGGTGTCCAATTCATGAGGCTCCGAGTGGGGGGGGGGGGGAGGCGTCGCGCTCGTGACAACGGGCACCGGCGAGCCGAGGACTGCGCGAGACACCC